ATTTTCCAAGTTAGGGAACTAAGTAGCCTCTAAATTGTTCTGTTCATTCTACCTCACACATATCCACTCCAGTCAAATGTCCTGTAAACCATTCTGCACAGAGCAGGACACACAATGTTTCATGAAGGTGGAGACTTTAATCATTTACAAAGCCCTCAGACCTTTTTCTACTCTTGCAGGTTTAATCATACAGATGCCATTTACAGTATTTTGTAACTAGTAAGCAGCAATAAAGTTTATTCTGTACTATTTTAGCATATTATTTTAAGTTGAAATAGAAAAATTATATCGATGTCTTTTCATCTTGAAGAAATAACAATGAAACTCATAACTCAAATCTGTTTACCAGCCTAAGAGAAGCATTTAAAATCATACAGGCTTCTTCTATGCTTTATTAGAAAGATTCAAGGAGGGGGAAAAAAAGGCAGAATTATTCCAAGCCATGTTCAGGAACAACAACAAAAAGAATTTGTAACTGCAATTCCAATGTTTCATAAATGTCCTCTATTTCCATGTAAAAACCCTTTAAAATTAACATAATTAAGGCAGCTAATAAAACACAATCCCTGCAACTTTTGTATATAAGGAAAATCCTCATACAGTATTGGTAGAGCATGACTTATCAATAAAATATACTACATTCGTTATCAAATATAGAAACCACAGTTCCAGATTTATGTTTTTTAAAAAATTAATTTATTTTAAGTTAAGGAGCTCTATGTAAATTTATTTTGGTATCAAACAACTGCAGTTAGTGACGGGGGAAAAAGCATCCATAATTGTGGAAGGATGGTAATTTATTTATAAAAACTATACAAAATTAGATTAATTATAACAACAACTTATCAAAGGTTTCTGAAATTAATTTTGCTTTTGAAAAAGTATCAAAAGTCTTCAGATCCAGAATGATAGCCTTTTTTTATTTTTGATTTGTGGAATTATAGCACATCAGATCTTTAGGCAACTACATCAGATGAAATCCTGGATAATAAAGTATTCTCAATTTCCTGACAGCTTGGAATGTAAATGAAAACTTGTTCCATTTTTATTAAAGAAAAAACCTAGAATAATGCATTCAATAGTATCAAATACCTGTTAGAATGGCTTGTCTGCTATAATTAAACACGGGCAATTAGTTCTACACTGTTAAAAATTGCCTTAAATTAATTCCTTCCTTTAATAAAAAAGTTTTTCTCATCTATTTCAGATCTCCGGTATTTTATTTTAACTATGAAATTTGTGTCAACATCAGGAATCTTCAAAACAGTATATATTTTAAAAGCACATATAAGCAAAACTAAATTTCTCAAATTATTAATAAATCTAAAGCAATAATTTAATATTCTATTGCAAAATATAGGCTACCTTAAGAGAAACATGCTTGGTCAATCTTTTGCTTTTAGGTTTGGTGGCCAAACATTTAAAAATAAAGAAAAAAATACCATTACTCTTTGCTAATGGCTTTTAAGATTTGCAGACACAGCTAAATACTCATCTAACAAAGTACCCAGGCTATCCAACTATATTTGCCATTAATTCATAAGACAATAACACATATTTATAATATGAAAGTAGTCAAAAAATAAAGAATAAAAAGAAATAGCCACAGGTATTTTACACCTAAAATAAGTTGACCTAATAAGGGTTACATGAGAAATATAAGACCCCAAATAAATTTTAGATACAAAATTATATGATGTGGCTTTGTTCAAACATACCTAAAATTCAAACTCAAGTTAAATACCTAGGCTGGCTTTTTTATATCACCAGCTTTCATTAGGGCCTTAATCGCTCTTGCCCTCATCTCAAGTTCTAGCAGCTCTAGTTGCTGTGCAGAAGGTTGAACGTCTTCTGGTGGAGGAACAGCCAGGGTGGCTGCTTTGGGTTCCTTCGGGCTAGATTCTGCCAGTCCCAGAATCTCATTCACACTTTTCTCAATGTCTTTCTCCAGGTCATCTATCTGACCAGCTTCACTTTGGACTGTATTTTCTGGTGCCTCGGGAGCAGCTGCTTCTTCATTGCATGGGCCTTCTATGTCACTGTCATAAGCATCTGCATTTATACTGAGTACATCACTATCTTCCCCTTTGCCTATAACAAACAAACAAACAAAAAAAAATAGAAAGATTCATGTAAATTAAATGCCATGGGTCAAAATTTCCTTACTGCTTATAATTTAAAAACTGCTTTGATTCCACCTCCCACTATGGAGTCCCCCAAACATATTACATAATCCCCACGCCACCCTCTTTCCCTGACTTCTCAACCTTCAAAGCAGATCAAATTTAATATAAATTCGAGTGTATTTTTCATTCTAATTTAGTAGAACATGGGAACATTGAGAAATTTATTCCATCATATGGAAGACCCATGATCTATTTTCCTAATTAAAATATAACTTATTACATCACAGTAAAACTTCTGCATTACAAAATGAAAGCTGACATTGGAAATCCTCTGGATAGAGTATGGCTTATTAGTCAAGTAGTAAAATTTCATTCTATAAAGTGTTTAAAATACTTTGCTTTATAAACTACAAAAAATTATCATCAGCAAGCAGGGCAACATGTGCATTACAATTATCCCAATTGTTTCATATGCTTTTTCAAACACTCTGTTCCAAATCAATAAATTAAAGAATGCCTAAGGCCATTTTCTAAGATAAAAAGTTTTAATGAAGAGGATTTTAATTAACAAATTAGTACACCATAATTTTAAAAAATGCATTTATTATAAAACTTCTATAACTGATGCTAACAACCTGAATAAACACAGATTATGGTCTCATCCACCTTGTTCTTGTCACTGAATACTACTCAATTCAAGGCATCCTTTACAACTTTTGAGTACTCACTTATATCCCCAATTAATTTATCTTTTAAATACTGAATTATTTTTTTAAAGTCATGATCCCCAGAATGTTAGCTTTCCCTACTGTAAGAAAGCTTTGACAGTGCCTTCCTTATAGTAGGGAAAACAACTTTACAAAACATAGATTGACGCATGGAAAATTCTGGTAAGACTGCACAAGAAGGACATAAACAATTATACTCCACTGTTTTATAACAGATGATTTACTGACCTTCACTGATCCTCCTACAAGATTATAATTCAAAAACCACCCCCATTCCAAAATTAAAGTGGAAAATAAAACAATAAATTATTTTTGTGTCCATAAATAGAGCTTTTAAAAAAAATGGTTATTTGATGCCAAAGAACATTTTATATATCGCCCCAAAGCAACGAGTATTTCCAAAAAGCAAAAAAAAAAAAAATTATAGAAAATTGAACATAACCTTTTGTTTTAGGAAATACTATTTATATAAGTATTCTAACTTGAGACTAAAACAGATTTAAGAAAATAAGTGCTGGCCGGGCGCGGTGGCTCAAGCCTGTAATCCCAGCACTTTGGGAGGCCGAGGCGGGTGGATCACGAGGTCAAGAGATCGAGACCATCCTGGTCAACACGGTGAAAC